AGGGTCTCCCTGTCGCTCCGATCAAGTTGCGAAAACTAGGTCAAATCAACGTTATACAACTAAAGGAGAAGGCGACCAAACCTAAGGCAACACCATCTTGGTATTCATTCCACAATCTTAACTTAAACCTTCTTGTTTTAAATCCCTTTGCATTCTCTTTACTGAAGTATGCTACATTTCAACCAGTTGGTTTCTTTTTGCATATATCTTGTAGAGACCTTTCTATTTAAAGCATGAATGACTTTTGATCCTTTCTGAAGGATTTACCGAAACTATTCCTGGCATTCTTATGTTCCTTGAATCCATTCAAGCAATTATTTAATGTAATGCTGACGCGTCTAAATTGACTTTTTAAGCACCCTTGTTCTATGCTCCATAAAACTCTAAGCCAGTCTTTTTTATCCTGTTTATTCTATTTAGGAGGTGCATTTATTCCCAATGCTCAGGGCCTTGCTGATCGTCCCGACATAGACATGGCCAGTGCCGATTCAGTTTTGATGCCGCCTCCACCGGCACCATCTTCCATCGCTGCCTTCCCAACGGAACCGCCTGTAACTTCGTCACAAGGTCTCGAACTCGAAACTGAACCTAAACAGTCAATTGATCCCCGGCTTCATTTCTTTCAAACCCTTGACATTCTTGACGACGCCGCACTAGCGGCCAGTTTTTTATGCAAGCCAACAGCTGGGGGGAATTGTAGTAATACTGACTTCCAGCACTCATTACCCTCAGTCGGTAGCCTGAACACCGCAGCCTTCACTTCGTCCTCACAATCAGCCTTGACGCGGGCTGCTCAGCTGTTCAGTTCTGTCGCATGTCGCCAACTTGGTCTATCTCCGGTTGATCCAGTTCAGACTGCCTTCGCATCTGGCTGCCGTGTGTTGCCTCGGTTGCACTCGCTACAACGCGCCATTGCCTGTCTAAGCAAGTATAGCTCTTCAGATGCGGATATGTTACCAGTGAGTTAGACTGATATCATGAGCCTTGTCGCCGTTATTTTTACTCATTGCTATTAGATATTCTATATAGAAATTTATCTTTTTTACCTTGGCTCTTACTTAATCCGTTACTCTTACATTTCATGCTTATTTATAACGCATGCTAATAAAATGCCCAATAATCAAAATTAAGAAAGACCTAGAGG